CTTGCCTGCACCCCGCTGCCTGCACCCTCGCTGCCTGCGAGCCACAGAACCACCCAGGCACTTCTGGTTTAGCAAACCCACCAGTTTCACCCCCAGCTGCTTCTAAGAAAGCCGTGACGGTCCCTGCAGCGAGCGGGTCGCTGTCTGCGCAGCCGGCGCCGCGCGCTGCCATGGCCGAGGGGCTTCGCAGCTCAGCTGCTTCCTCTGCGGCTCAGCCAAACCCACAGCGGGGTGCAGCCTCCCACCTCGCCCCACGCCTCCAGCTCTCACCTTGGGGAACGGGGTGGCCAAACTCGTCTCCCAAAGGTGCAGGCAGCGGGTCTGGCAGCACCGTACGTGCACACACGCACATGCACACGCACGTACACCCCTCCCCGTGCGGCCCAAGCACCCGGGTGCCAGCGAAATGCAAGAATTCAGGGCACCCGCGGGTCTGCTCCATAGGGAAAGTGGCTACAGTGCTCGGTGCTTCCCAAAGAGCATCCCTGTGTGCAAGGCAGGGAGGCGGGACGGGGCTTTCACTCTGTGCGTGGGAAACTGAGGCACAGGGCGAGGGGGACCGAAACGTCCGTTCATTTGGGGAGATGACTGAAAGCAGATAAGTCGTGCCCTTTGCAGCGCGCAGCCTGGCATGCCTGCGATGCGCGGTATCATCTCAGCACACAGCGTTTTAGCTGACCCCGCCGCCAGCACCTCACCTGGCTGTCCCAAAACAGAGGGGCCATTCGTGACCCTCTCCAACACCCCGGGCTGATGGCAGTGCCCAGCGGAGCCTGGCCAGGGCAGGACTCGCTTTCCTGAGCCATGAGGCCACGACTGCATATCCCTGCTCCAGCGCCAATCCCGGTACCCAGCCCCACAAAGCCCGAAGCCATGGGAAAGGAGGCATGTGATCTCCATAAAAACTGTCACAACCTGGGAACATCTCACAGTTGTGGCCGAGATTCACCCTGGCTCTTCCTCGCTGGCGCCAGGGCGCTCTGGGAATGCCTGTGGCCAGTGCACAGCCCCCAGCGGCGCGGAGCCATGAGGGCACGCGCATGCAGTGAGCGGCACAATGCCGGCGTTGTAACCCCGACGCCGGCAGGGCAATGCTTCCAGACCCTGGAGCAGGGACCGGCCACGGGATGTCTCCCATCACGGCTGCCTTGTTTTCCCTGTGCATCCCAGGGAATGCAAGGAGAAGTGCCCGAGCATAGGAGCCGCGGGTGCCGCTGCAGTGATCCAGGGGCCTGGTGCTGAGCTGCTGGTGGTGCCAGAGCCCAGGAGCGGTTGAAGCCAGTGCTGCGGAGCCGATGGTCTGGTGGAGCTGCTGTCCGGCGCCTGCAGGAGCAGCCGGGGAGGTACAGGTGGAGGGACCCTGCAGCGGGTCCCGGGGATTGTCCACAGAGGTGACCACAACCCTGGGATGAGGGGGAAAAAAAAAGAGAGAAATGAAAAAAGCAAATTTAAGAGGGGACCAAGCAT